ATACAAAAATAAAAATATAATCAGATATTTAAAAGCTTGTTTATATGTAACTTGGTAAGCAAACTTCATTTTTCATTTTTCTTTTAACTTGAAAATAATTAAGAATATTTAGAATTCTATGTATAGATTTATGCTACTGAAGACTTGGTTTACAATACTTATTTTTATGAAAATATAACTTTCTAGAAAACCAAGTTCAAATTTTAATAATCAAATGATAGTGCCAGATTAACTATTAGTTTATGTATTATACAGATATATTAGAACTAACCAAGTTAATATGCTACTCCTCCTCCTCCTCCCAATTTGAAGAAATAGTATATCTACATGATCCCTCTTTCAAGAATGCTGTGTGAATTGATAATCTGACAACTAGAAAACAAAGTTCTTCTGTTTTATGAAAATAATATTACTTCATATTCCAGGTGTACAGACAATATGTTAATCATATGGCATCATAAACCAGACATACTTGAATTCATAAATTCTTTTAATTCCAGTCCATTTGCTCTCCACCTATGCCTAGAACAGCAACACTCATCTGATGCACATTTCCTGGATATCAACATTAGCACACAAGATAGGCATATTTTTACATTGTATACCACAAACCAAAATACAATTCAATATTTATTGTTGCCTGCTCATATGATCCATTCCAATTTAAAATAGCATTGTTCAGAGCCTAGGTAAAAAGAACATATATGTACTTTTTGAATATCAAAAACAAGATGAAAGAATTATAGTACATAGCCCATCTGGCAATCAAATGTAATTATTGAGACCTCACAGAATAATGTAACAAAAAGTATAAATTAGAACCTAAATTATTTATTTCCTTTATTTTTTATCAACAATATCCATACATTTTTCTTCCTAATCTCTTAATTTATTTGATATGTTCGTATACAAATGTCTAAAAATGTTTATACTGACGAAGATATTTCAATATACAGTAATACCCCAAACTTACGCGATAGGTGGGACCGAGCAATAACCGCGTAAGTCGCGGTATAATTTCTCAATTTGTGTAAAATCCAAGTCGGATGTATGTAAGGTAATAAATGTTCTCGTTAATCTTATCTCATCTTTTGATTCATTGATTGTTACAAGAAATCACCACATAGAGTCTCTCTAGTCTCCGTAGATATAACAAATACAGAAATAAATAACACAAAATAAATTGTAGCTATGTGTCAATTCTGCACGATACGTCCGAACATGTAAGCTGAACAATAGTGTGGGGGGAATGAGTAATTAAGAATTGTGTGCCGCTCAAACAAAAGACGAATCAACAAGATTTGAAAATTGCGTAACTCTGGGTTCGCGTAAGTCGAGGTATTACTGTACAGTATATATCACTGAAGTACACTGGTGATATGAAAGAAATTGTGAAAGATTCTATAATTAACTTAATCAGCAGAAATGAGAATTGTTAAGCAAAACTTTACAAATTTTGCTTTACTAAACTTTACTAAAACTATCAGAAACAATTAAGATTAAATACAATGGAAAGAATTTTGCTGGTTTTAATATTATAAAATTATTATCTGATAACCTGAATTGGATTGGAAAAAAAGCAAGATAGAGATTAGTTCTGTTTTAATAACTAATATATCAAATGAAACTGATAAATTTTTACAATAAATTTGATTTATTTTACTTCAGTATGTTGATATTCTAAAATTTATCAAATAAAATACTGAAAATGATAAAAGTCAAATATCAGTATAATTATTATCATTAAAGTATTAACATTACCAACAATATTAATTTAAACATTGTTGATAAAAGTTGGTATTTTATTAGTTTTGGTATAATGACATTCTAAAATTTAAAATATGAATATCAGTATTGTAAAAATTTATCAGTTTCAGTTTGATACATTAGTTATCAGCATAGTACAAAGTAATCATCAATATCCTATGTAATTTTTAGTAATAGTAGGTACTTCTTTAAAATATGTAATCTCATTGTCAAATGTGTAATTCACAATGCCTAGTATAGCCTAGTGACTATAATTTCAAAGCCTATCTTAAAATGTTCTTTTATATACTCCAGACTTTTTGATAATTCACACTTTTTGATGTTCGATAATTTTTGGTATTCTGTATTTTTCGGTATTTATTGAAATTGTTTGATTATTGGTAAATTGAAGGAATTTTGGTATTAAGCCCAAAATCAATATCAAAATACTGATTTTAGCACAACCCTAATAGACATAATATATCTCAATTAAATGAATCTTTTGTTTGCTAATATGTAAAAGTTATGATTATAAAGTTTAATTTTACATTTTCTCATTCTTACTTTTAACTTCGTACTGTAGACAGCAGCTTACAAAGTACATATCTAATGATATTACAAAAACAAAAATAATTTTTAAAATCAAAGGTTTTTGAATGAAATTTAACACCAGGTAACAAATTTAACAAAGGTTTTTGAATATTTTACACCAGACAACTGGTGTAAAATTACATAACATGGCCAATTATTATATTTTATTCTCTTATTTCTGTTATCTGGAACAATGTATTTGAACTTACATTTCTATATATTTTGGTGAAATGACTCAAATAAATTTTGTATTTATCTACAGAATTGAAAGAAAAAACAATTCTTTTCCTGTTTTTAGATGTTATTTAAATTTAGTATTTAAAATTTTATATATCCTTCTAATTTTGATATAAATATATTTTATAAATTATTTGAAAATACTTTTTTATAGTTAGAAAATTAATTAATTGAATTATTTTACAGTGTGGCTAGTTCTGCAGACTTAGAATTAAGAAGATTAACTGGGTAAGAAAGTCTCTAGTAATGATTGTGTGAATAATAATGAAATAATCTTATTTAAATTATTCATTAATATGACTATACAGTAGAAGCTCCATATTTGCACATTCTTTATTTGTGCATTTTGCAAATTTACAGTTTGGTCTTTGCAGTTATTTTTCATATTTGTAAAGCTAAAATTCTGGAATGGAAGAAAATTTTTTTGTCTAATGGAAGACATAAAAAATTGCTTTTTTATTCTATTTCTGTTCTATTAATAAAATTTTTAAAGTTCTATTACTTTAAGCCAGGATGTCAAACTGGCAGCCCCCAATGTGATTTTTCGTGGCCTAAGGCCACAACGCTCTGCAATGAAATTAAATACAGAACAATATGTTATGAAGAAAATATCAAGTATCCATTGCATCGTTGTTATGACATCATATGTCAGATGTTATGATGCGCTGGTCAACTGTGGCAGAGTAGGCTGTAGTTAGGCATTTCGCCAGTAACTTCAAGCCAGTTTCAATCTAGAGATGCCAAGCTTCAAAGCTCACAAAAAATCTTTTTGCTTGCAGAGCCATATACAGTGGGTATGCACAGCCACCACAATGGAGGTGTGTAACTCTATTTTTTTCAAATTTTAACAAAAGGCATTTGCACTAACTTCTTTGTCCCAATTGGCATGTGTTTTAGTGTGTTAAAACATTAGGTGTTTTAATTGCCCTATCTATATTCCTGCATTCTCACTTCAAATTATAATTTTAAAAAAATTTATAAATGCAATGTGGCCTGCGTGAATCTTACCAGTTGCACTAAGTGGCCTGTTGTTGAGATAAGTTTGATACACCTGCTTTAAACCATTATTATATAGTCTTCAACAGTGTACTGCTGTAAAATTTTTTCATTGAACTTATATTTTGAAANGCAGAGCTTCTTAAACTTCTTTATTCACGACCCCATTTATGATTTTTTTCGCAACCCAAAAAAATATAAATTAAGGATATATACAAATTTGCAAAAACAATAATGATATACTACCACAGTTCACTCTTGTGTTACAATGGAACAGAGACATCTGAATACAATGAAAAGCGACAACACTACACTAGTTCACATTACAATCAGTGTTGCTGAATCATCGTCTCGCTGCACCAGAAGTGACACAAAGCATGCCATTTTCAAACCCTCACAAATTATTTTCAATATTTTGCATTAAAATCTCGTGACCCCAACATTTCGCTAAGCGACCCCAAATGGGGTCGCGACCCATAGTTTAAGAAGCCCTGGTCTAGGGTCATTCGTAAGTTGGTGGTGGCAGAGGAGACAAAGATGACAAGTATTTTACAGTTAAAATTGTTTATTAGAATGGGAAGATGCTTACATATTTGAGGTAGTTGGAAATGGCTTATCTACAGTATTTTCTCTCAGCACTGAGGAGTGGGTAATCGCTGGTCCTACGATAGTGCAAGCTGATCAGTCATAGCCCCAGAGCGGACGAGATGGGTTCGCTTGGTCACAGAAGCGATGGTAGGAGACAGAGCTGCAACGACTGGAGCAGTCCGCTCCAGTCGTTGCAGCTCTGTCTCCTACCATTGCTTCTGTGACCAAGCGTTTTGATCTTGAGATTCGGAGTTTTTATAGTATTTCTTCCTTGAATCTCACCTTACGATTAGTCCTGCGTCCCATTCCTCGCTTCCCGATTGTTTTCTTCTTTGTCTCCATGTGAAAACCGAAACCAGATCAGGTCACGAGAAAGGTTTGTTCTGAGGCGTTTATTTGACACCTGTTCGTCGACTCTGATCAGAGATTGTTGATAAACCTATAAGCCTTTTGCTCATAATTTAGCCTATTGTTACTGCTATCTGTCATTTTAGAACTTTAACAATCGTATGTGATGTTTTTATACTCATCAAATCTTTTCCATTTTCCGAAAATTTAACCTAGATCAACTGTTTGTGAGCACGTTTTCCTATATTTTCATTAAAGAAAACCCATTTTACAAATAAAATTACAAAAATACTGACGGCTAGAATGCATTAAATGTATTTGCATTAATTTCTATGGGAAAAATTGCTTCGGTTAACGAACGGACTCGTGGAACGGATTACGTTCGTTAACCGGGGTTCCACTGTATTGTCTTTTGACCTGCAGAGTGTTGTCAGTGTAAGTTCATAAACTTTTGAGTTATGACATTTAGTATAAACTGTGTTTCTTTTGCTGTGTTATGAATTTGAAAATTGTAATTAAATTATACTTTAAAGTTGATCTTTCTACTTCAGAACAAGTTCAAAACAGGTACAAAAGGCATATGGTAATGAGGCTTGAACTTGTCTAATGTCTTGAAATGTTATTTGTAATTTCATGATGGAAGTGATTCAATAGATGACAATGATCACATCAACTTGAACAAAAAATGTTGCTACTTTCACTGTGTAGGTGAAGAACAACCATTAAATAACTTTACAGATGGTAGCTGAAACTTTAAACATTCCAAAACAGTTCTTCATATTTTGAATGAAACTTGAGGACGAGGAAGGTGTGTGTTCATTTTGTTTTACTTTCCTTGACAACTGAGCAAAGAAATTCAAACATATCTAGTCAGAACATCATTGTGATGGCAGATGCAGAGAAAAATTTCATAGCAAAATTATTATGGAAGATGAGACTTAATGTTTCACTTACAATCTTGAAACTGTGCAACAGAATCCTGAATGAGTTGATGAGTTTTCCCAGACCAAAGTAATTGAATTTTAAAAATATAGAAGAAAACTAAAATGTCTTCTAGCATTCATTCTGTCTAATCATCAGGAACAACAGTCTTCACTTTGCAGAGACAACCTTTTATTGGAGGCTACATAACTGTGCAGAGGCATAGCCTCCAATAAAAGGTTGTCTCTGCAAAGTGAAGACTGTTGTTCCTGATGATTAGACAGGATGGATGCTAGAAGACATTTTAGTTTTCTATATTTTTTTAAAATTGTGAAATATACCATCTGCAATTTTAATTCAAAGTAATTGAAATTCCAAAAGTCATACATGAAAATGATGATGTTTTTTTTACTCACAAGGCATAGTTTAAAAATAATTCATATTGGAAGGAAGAAGAGTGAATGCTGAGTTTTATAAGGACGTTCTGGATCATCATCAGACTCTCGTTTAGTGTGTTTTTCCCAATGCATTTCAATTTTGAGATTTTTTCTGTTGCACAATAATATACCCACTTACAAAACTGCATGCATGCATCAACTTTTGACACAGAAAAGAATCTTTACATCTTTAATATCTCTCTTACTCACCAGATTTGTTCCCTTATTATCCAAATAGCTGTGATCAATGAATTAAAGAAACCAGTAAAGTGGAAGTTTCTGTGTATCTCCAAAAATTGTATAACTGCACTGAAGCCTGCATACATGCCAATGGGTTACAAGTTGAATAAAAAATATGTATTATTTTTCTCTCATATGTTTTTGATTTTTACAATTTCTGTCCTAAAATTTTTAACTGCTAAAAATTCTGCAATTTCTGTCCTAAAATTAGGATATGTCAATTGACAATAGATTTGACAAAATAACAGTATTTTATTCAATATTAATGGAGGTAGATTCCATTAATATTGAATAAAATATTGTTATTTTGAAATTCAGTAAAGTATGCTGATACTTCATCTTTACATTTCAATAATTTTATTCTTATCTTTTTCTGAAGATATATGTAAGCTTTATAGCTATTTGAAATGTCTTTTTTTCTGACTTTTATAGGTTTTTACTTAACTAAACATCAAAAACAATTCTTTAATAATGTCAGTATTTTATGAAATAATGTAATAAATTTGAAATTTACAAACAAATTTAACAATTTAACATAAACAAAAGTTTATTAATATGCTTAATGATTTCTGATCCATGTGTGAGGAACTGAGTTCAATCAGGATAATAAATCGAATGTTTAACAGCATTAGGTTGGTGAAACCTGCTCATGCTGTCATTGGATGGCTATAGTAGGGCTATTATGAGTAGGGAGTGTGATAGATACGTCGATAGGGTGTCTGATATTTAATTAATATAAGCATTCAATTCCATTTTATAAAAACAAAAAGATAGTTAATAAACAAATAAAAGTTCAAATATAAATGGATATATACAAAGTAAATTAAAGGGCATTGACTTAATTAATTAAAATGCTATTGCTATATATTGAGAGAGAGTTTACAATAAATATTAGCATAATATCTCATGTATACATATGTCTTCGGGAGGCAGATGTTCAGAACCAGAGATCAGACACAAAGTCAATATATGGCAACTTCTTTTAACTTATGCACCCTGAGTTTGGCGTGTAAATTGTTTTTATACTAATATTCTCTTCCAATTTTGACCATCTGACGGGATGTCAAGATGAGTCTTGTTTAGTCAGATATTTAGTCGTAGTAGAGATAATGATCTCTCTCAGGAACTAACAGTCAAAAACGAAACATTTGTTCTTTGTTCTCCTCAACTGTTTTATAAAATAAAAGTTTTGAATTTAATATTGAAATATTATATTGATTTAAATTCTTATAAAACATCAATTCAATATTCAGATTCTCACATGTATGTATAAGAATATGTTATGTATTATATGGATAGCTCTTGATATGCCAGTGATATACATATTCATTACATGTATTTGTTTTTCATTCAGATTTATCAGTTATTTTTACTGTGTTTTATCTTGAACATTTTTATGTGAATATGATTTTCTGTTTATAGAAATTTTTATTCTAGAAGCACAGATTCATTTCTCAGATTTCATATTTGAAGCGTGCAATGCCATAATGTTGTAAATGCCAAAAAACAAATTTTTCAGGAGAGGTTAAAAAATACGTTTTCTAGTGAATGAATTCATTTCAGTTTTACAATAAAATGGTAAACTCACTAGGTTACAAATTCTTTTGAGTATCAAAATGATTTAAAATATAAGCTGTATGGTATTGCATGCTTCATTTGTTGTTTTTGAGCTAAATAATGTGACAATTTATGTAACTATAGTCCTGTTCTCTTTTGAATTACAATTATATTGTTGCTGAATATGTTGATAACAAATTAATTTAGGTTTACTAACAGTAATTACTAAAAGTTATCAAAATTAATGAATGATGACATCTGTAATTATTTGTGTGTTAAAAACTTTATTCTTTCCTATGAGATGTTAATTTTACAAATGTTGTTAGATTTATTTATATAAATTATACAAAAATAAAAATATAATCAGATATTTAAAAGCTTGTTTATATGTAACTTGGTAAGCAAACTTCATTTTTCATTTTTCTTTTAACTTGAAAATAATTAAGAATATTTAGAATTCTATGTATAGATTTATGCTACTGAAGACTTGGTTTACAATACTTATTTTTATGAAAATATAACTTTCTAGAAAACCAAGTTCAAATTTTAATAATCAAATGATAGTGCCAGATTAACTATTAGTTTATGTATTATACAGATATATTAGAACTAACCAAGTTAATATGCTACTCCTCCTCCTCCTCCCAATTTGAAGAAATAGTATATCTACATGATCCCTCTTTCAAGAATGCTGTGTGAATTGATAATCTGACAACTAGAAAACAAAGTTCTTCTGTTTTATGAAAATAATATTACTTCATATTCCAGGTGTACAGACAATATGTTAATCATATGGCATCATAAACCAGACATACTTGAATTCATAAATTCTTTTAATTCCAGTCCATTTGCTCTCCACCTATGCCTAGAACAGCAACACTCATCTGATGCACATTTCCTGGATATCAACATTAGCACACAAGATAGGCATATTTTTACATTGTATACCACAAACCAAAATACAATTCAATATTTATTGTTGCCTGCTCATATGATCCATTCCAATTTAAAATAGCATTGTTCAGAGCCTAGGTAAAAAGAACATATATGTACTTTTTGAATATCAAAAACAAGATGAAAGAATTATAGTACATAGCCCATCTGGCAATCAAATGTAATTATTGAGACCTCACAGAATAATGTAACAAAAAGTATAAATTAGAACCTAAATTATTTATTTCCTTTATTTTTTATCAACAATATCCATACATTTTTCTTCCTAATCTCTTAATTTATTTGATATGTTCGTATACAAATGTCTAAAAATGTTTATACTGACGAAGATATTTCAATATACAGTAATACCCCAAACTTACGCGATAGGTGGGACCGAGCAATAACCGCGTAAGTCGCGGTATAATTTCTCAATTTGTGTAAAATCCAAGTCGGATGTATGTAAGGTAATAAATGTTCTCGTTAATCTTATCTCATCTTTTGATTCATTGATTGTTACAAGAAATCACCACATAGAGTCTCTCTAGTCTCCGTAGATATAACAAATACAGAAATAAATAACACAAAATAAATTGTAGCTATGTGTCAATTCTGCACGATACGTCCGAACATGTAAGCTGAACAATAGTGTGGGGGGAATGAGTAATTAAGAATTGTGTGCCGCTCAAACAAAAGACGAATCAACAAGATTTGAAAATTGCGTAACTCTGGGTTCGCGTAAGTCGAGGTATTACTGTACAGTATATATCACTGAAGTACACTGGTGATATGAAAGAAATTGTGAAAGATTCTATAATTAACTTAATCAGCAGAAATGAGAATTGTTAAGCAAAACTTTACAAATTTTGCTTTACTAAACTTTACTAAAACTATCAGAAACAATTAAGATTAAATACAATGGAAAGAATTTTGCTGGTTTTAATATTATAAAATTATTATCTGATAACCTGAATTGGATTGGAAAAAAAGCAAGATAGAGATTAGTTCTGTTTTAATAACTAATATATCAAATGAAACTGATAAATTTTTACAATAAATTTGATTTATTTTACTTCAGTATGTTGATATTCTAAAATTTATCAAATAAAATACTGAAAATGATAAAAGTCAAATATCAGTATAATTATTATCATTAAAGTATTAACATTACCAACAATATTAATTTAAACATTGTTGATAAAAGTTGGTATTTTATTAGTTTTGGTATAATGACATTCTAAAATTTAAAATATGAATATCAGTATTGTAAAAATTTATCAGTTTCAGTTTGATACATTAGTTATCAGCATAGTACAAAGTAATCATCAATATCCTATGTAATTTTTAGTAATAGTAGGTACTTCTTTAAAATATGTAATCTCATTGTCAAATGTGTAATTCACAATGCCTAGTATAGCCTAGTGACTATAATTTCAAAGCCTATCTTAAAATGTTCTTTTATATACTCCAGACTTTTTGATAATTCACACTTTTTGATGTTCGATAATTTTTGGTATTCTGTATTTTTCGGTATTTATTGAAATTGTTTGATTATTGGTAAATTGAAGGAATTTTGGTATTAAGCCCAAAATCAATATCAAAATACTGATTTTAGCACAACCCTAATAGACATAATATATCTCAATTAAATGAATCTTTTGTTTGCTAATATGTAAAAGTTATGATTATAAAGTTTAATTTTACATTTTCTCATTCTTACTTTTAACTTCGTACTGTAGACAGCAGCTTACAAAGTACATATCTAATGATATTACAAAAACAAAAATAATTTTTAAAATCAAAGGTTTTTGAATGAAATTTAACACCAGGTAACAAATTTAACAAAGGTTTTTGAATATTTTACACCAGACAACTGGTGTAAAATTACATAACATGGCCAATTATTATATTTTATTCTCTTATTTCTGTTATCTGGAACAATGTATTTGAACTTACATTTCTATATATTTTGGTGAAATGACTCAAATAAATTTTGTATTTATCTACAGAATTGAAAGAAAAAACAATTCTTTTCCTGTTTTTAGATGTTATTTAAATTTAGTATTTAAAATTTTATATATCCTTCTAATTTTGATATAAATATATTTTATAAATTATTTGAAAATACTTTTTTATAGTTAGAAAATTAATTAATTGAATTATTTTACAGTGTGGCTAGTTCTGCAGACTTAGAATTAAGAAGATTAACTGGGTAAGAAAGTCTCTAGTAATGATTGTGTGAATAATAATGAAATAATCTTATTTAAATTATTCATTAATATGACTATACAGTAGAAGCTCCATATTTGCACATTCTTTATTTGTGCATTTTGCAAATTTACAGTTTGGTCTTTGCAGTTATTTTTCATATTTGTAAAGCTAAAATTCTGGAATGGAAGAAAATTTTTTTGTCTAATGGAAGACATAAAAAATTGCTTTTTTATTCTATTTCTGTTCTATTAATAAAATTTTTAAAGTTCTATTACTTTAAGCCAGGATGTCAAACTGGCAGCCCCCAATGTGATTTTTCGTGGCCTAAGGCCACAACGCTCTGCAATGAAATTAAATACAGAACAATATGTTATGAAGAAAATATCAAGTATCCATTGCATCGTTGTTATGACATCATATGTCAGATGTTATGATGCGCTGGTCAACTGTGGCAGAGTAGGCTGTAGTTAGGCATTTCGCCAGTAACTTCAAGCCAGTTTCAATCTAGAGATGCCAAGCTTCAAAGCTCACAAAAAATCTTTTTGCTTGCAGAGCCATATACAGTGGGTATGCACAGCCACCACAATGGAGGTGTGTAACTCTATTTTTTTCAAATTTTAACAAAAGGCATTTGCACTAACTTCTTTGTCCCAATTGGCATGTGTTTTAGTGTGTTAAAACATTAGGTGTTTTAATTGCCCTATCTATATTCCTGCATTCTCACTTCAAATTATAATTTTAAAAAAATTTATAAATGCAATGTGGCCTGCGTGAATCTTACCAGTTGCACTAAGTGGCCTGTTGTTGAGATAAGTTTGATACACCTGCTTTAAACCATTATTATATAGTCTTCAACAGTGTACTGCTGTAAAATTTTTTCATTGAACTTATATTTTGAAATTAAAAATTTTTATAATAATTTATTTTACTTTTTTTATTTAATTTCTTTAAACATCATATATTGTTTATTTTAGAGTTATTGATTGGAATAATAAACAGTTAGTATCAAAATTATATTCAATATTTCTTGGAACTACTGTGACAAAAAATCAAGTAAGTTTGTTTTATTTTTTTTAATAAAATAACTATTTTTCAAAATAAGTTTAGTAATTAATAGATAATATAATTTATAATAACAATTGATATTTATAACAATCAGACAAAGAGTTTCCTCTACCACTTCAAACTTTTTCTTACAAAAGAATAGTTTAAGCAGTAATGGTTACTCTTATCAACATTATTTGAACTCTCAATAAAACATCTATTATTACTCTGGGTGAATTTGTGAAAATTAGTAAAAGATCTATGAATTACCCATATTTTTTGTGTAGTCCATTATTTATCCTGGTTTGTTAAATTTTATACTTTTCTCCTCCTCAGTTTTCTGCTAACTTTGGTTTTGGCTGAATGAAATGTGGAAAACATTGTGGCTGTCCTATTTAGTATTAAATTATGAAAGTATGTTACTATATATGAGGACTGTTCAACTTTTGTTTGGAATTTCAGTAGTGACAATGGAATTGTATGCATTACATGGTATCAATTTAAGTTTCTTTCTCTACTCCCTTTATATGTTGGCACTTCTGTCATTTTGGAAACAATGCTTTGCAGAATAGATTGTTGAGTGATATTGCAGTGCAATGCATGATGAACTTTGCAGAGTTTGCATTGCATGGCAAACTCTGCAAAGTTCATCATGCATTGTTTCCTGTCTTCTAAGGCTAAATAAATTATAACTGAAAAGTGACAGATCTTGACTTAGGCCAAGTGATCCAGAAATTTTTAAACAAGTCCATGTCTGCTCCACCATGCACAGGGTTATGCTCCAACATTAGCCAAAAGACTTCTATTTGACAGGCATTACATCATTGCAAAAATGAAGGAAGAAATGTCAGCATATTGAGGGACGAATCCAAAGAAAGAAACAGATTGGGACTGTGTAACATATACAGTTTAATTACCATCACTGAAATTCTGAATAGACATTGAATCACCCACTGAAAATATGTATATAAATAGCACACTAAATCTATTGTTGTATTTTTACCTATGACTATGGAGTTTATTTATGATACTAACTATATTATTATATTTATGTCTACTTTGAAAAACTTATTGAAACTTGAAGAAAACAGACAAAACACATATTTACCTTTTATCTTGAAATACCAGTAACATTATTTTGTTGCTTGTAAGCCTTACTTTTAAACAATTCCTATTTGGGTTTTTTAATGTTATCTAGGATCCTTGTTTCATTATCTTTCCTGTCCTTGTCAAATGAAATTTTAATTTTCAAAGTTATTCTGCCTGAACAGGGAGTAAATAAAATGTATTGGTGAATAAATGAAATTCACTTTCTCCTGTGAAGGGTAACAGATTCTGTACTAATTGAAGAGTTATTCTTTGTGTAAGTTGCTGGTCTGGCTAAAGATTTGTTTGTAATCTCATTTATAAAGTATGGGCTGTAACAGCAGACATAACCAACATAAGCCAAAAGACTTCTATTAGAACTTCTATCATTCTGAATCAGATAGACAATAAACATGAAGACTCCATTTTGTTGGTTATTGTGAATTGTACACTTTTCACATAACAACCCCCTTTGAAAGCCACAGTATTCTCTCATTGATGGAAATATTTTTACTAGAAACATATAATTCTCTGCACTTAGCATCAATGTATTTCAAAGAATCTTCCACTCTCTTTCTTCTAGAAGATATTGAAGATATAGGATCTGGTTGACTTAGATGCAGAGACTTGCCTAAATCTTTTTTAGTAAAAACATTCCCAAAGAAAAGCATATGGTCTAATCAATTTTTGGAAAAGTAGAGATCCAAAGAGATCTCAATTATTGAATGTTCAAAAGAATATCTAGAAATGTCTTCACACTGTGATATCTACAAGTCAGTTAATCAAAACAGAATCTTGGTGGTGTTTACATTTTGACTGATAACCTTTGCAGCATATTTATTTTTCTTTATGTTTTCTTGAAATAATTCTGAAGTAAAAATTAACTGGAAGAAACCTAGTTTATTAATCATATATCGGCTTACTCTGAGTTTTAGTTTTCAGTGTGGAACAATAAATGGAAATTACTTCAAGTCATTGTCAGGCTTGTGGAATGGATTCTATTTCTTTGATGTCTCAATCTCTTCTTCCACCTCCTCCTTGCCAGTCATAAACTCATAGGTTTTGGTTGCTTGAAAGTCTAAACCAGGGATGTCCAGCCCATGGCCACACTGTGGCCCACTTAATATTTTTATGTGGCTTACTGCACCCTAAATTTTTAAGTACATTTTCATTTATTTTGGTAAAGTATGTCGTAAAAATTATTCTCGTTACACTGGATTCAGTTTGATGTTGTAATGATATAGTTGGTGACATAATTTGTAACTGATCAATCAAAAAAGTTGGTGGCATGGTCTGTCATTTTGATTGTTCCAGTTTCAAAGATTTTTGTAATGAAATGATGTTGTTAGTGATAAAGAATGAGTACCTTTCATCAGGAGGATGAAAAAGACATATAATTCCTCTATTCAAAAGAGCATAAGCCATTTTTAGTGACTCCAGGCTAAGCCTAATGTCAAAGTGGAAGGAACTAATTTATTCTTTATAGAAATAAAAAAAATGAATTTTCTCTTTCACTTAGGCATTCTTTCTTATTACAGGTATTTAATACAGACATAAGTCTATCTATATATTTCTTTTGCTAATGTAATAATTTAAATATTTTCAACCTCCAATTATATTCATAACTTTTTCATCAACTTTAAATTTATATTTTGAATAACCCAGCATTTGGTCATCGCATCAAATACTAAGAAAAGAAAAATAACAGAAGAAAGGAGAAAATTCAATATTTTTTGGCCAGAAAAATATTTCATAATTGAAACATGCAATAATATTATCTGCCTTATTTGTCATGATAAAATTTCCGTGGGAAATTGTGCATTTTTAAAGTTTATTAAAAAGAAAAGAAGAATATCCTGTGAACTTTGAAAAATGTAGTAAATTGCGTGAAGTTTTGTTAAAAGATTTAACAATCAGATTTTCTGACTTCAGAAAAATAGAAACTGGATTAAAATTGTTTAGTGACCCATTTTCATTTAATTATATGGAAGCACCAGACGAATACCAGCTAGAACTCATCGAACTTCAAAGCAGAAAATCTTTGAAAACTTATCGTAGAGAACATTTATTTCTTGAATTTTATAAAGAACTTCATTTTTTCAATGAATTTGATGAAATTGTCAATTTATCTAGAAAACTGTTATATATGTGGGGTAGTCCATACTGTTGTGAACAATTTTTTTCATGCTTGAAAAACATCAAAATTGCTGAAAGAAATAGGTTGAGTGGTTTCCATTTAACTAACATTCTTAGAATTAAAAATAGTACCATAAAAGCAGATATTGACAATATTATAAAAAAAAACAATGTAAAAAATCACATTGAATTTATTTTTATTTTGTGTGAGTATAATTTTGTTTTTTAATGTCAATAATACAGTATTTTTTGTAATAATATATATATTGGAACCTCGGTATATGACCTTAATCCGTTCCTGATGTTTGGACTTATACCGAATAGGATGTATACCAAACCAACCTTTCCCATAAGAAGTAATGTAAAAATAATTAATCTGTTCTCATGTAAAAAAATAATGGCTGGCTTTAAACACCTCGCTTTCCTGTCTAGTTCATACTTGATTTTTCGTGAGATCAGCATGTATCTTTTTAGCTTTCTCGCAAATAATTGCTTCCGATATGCTGTCTCTAGCACACCGTTTTTCAGTTATTCAAAGCAAAAGCAATTTCTCAACATGATCTAATGTCTTCAATCTCTGTTTAGAAATTGATTTAACCTCTTTTGCAACGTTAGCAGATTTAATAATGTCTTTATTTTTCGCAATTGTCGATATCATCATTCTTGGAATATGGTATGCAACAGTTAAATCTCGAACACACGTGCTACCTTCATATTCCTCAACAATGTTTTTTTTTCAGTTCCATTGTGATTCTAGTCATTCTTTTAGTTTTCTGTTGCTTTTCACTTGTCTTTTTCAATTCATGATTAATAAAAATAATAAAATTTTACTTACAAATTAAAATCGGAAGAAATTTAACAAAGTTAGAAACTGTGGCATTGCGAATGTCTAGTCTAGTAGACCGATAGTGCTACTTGTTCATAGATGGTGTGTATAATTGAATTAAGTCGTATACCAAACAAAAGTTGTATACCGAGTAAAATTTGTTTCGTCCAAACAGGACGTATACCGAATTGGACGTATTCTAAAGCAGACGTATACCAAGGTACCACTGTATTTCTTATTGAAATTTGATATTCACATTTTCAACTTTTTAAAAGCATATATTTATATAAAGTACCTTTGTGGCCCACTGAATATACCTAAAATTCTAATTTGGCCCATTAAGAAAAAAGGTTGGACAACCCTGGTCTAAACTTTCATCAAAACTTGAAATTTTTTCCAATAAATCAGAAATATCTTTGATCTCAAGGAAGCATCTGTAACAAGATCTTTTGAGCAACAAGACTGCTTCATTTAATCTGCACACAAATTTTTAACAGCACATAGAAAAGAAAATGAAACATAAAACACATAAACCAATGAACAAACAAAATTTAACTTTCACAAAGTGTAGATATGGAATGACTTGCAAGGAATCACTCTTTTATTACTCATAATTGTGTTTCTATTTTCAGATTTATGACTTATGAATTTTAGAACATTATAAAACTGCAGCACAATTTTGTAAATTTATATTGAACATTCAACTGTTATGTAAAAAATAGCAGCACAGCTGCTTTATAAAATTAATTATTCATAAAACATTAAAATTCACTAACTGGATTAAAATCACAGAGACAAAGACAATATTTTAAATTCAGCACTGAATTTAATTTCAAAATTGCAAATGTTTTAAGTCATGTTAAATGACTAGTATTAGGCATATTCTAAGAACAGGAAATAAATAAACAATGATTGAAGTTCCTGTTTAAAATTCTAGAATCTGTTACTTGATTGGTCCAGTGTCACTAAATATTATTTATATTTTGCATAAATCAAAATAATAACTAATCTATAAACTGTCTATTTTGAATAAAATGTTTTATAGATGTTTCCTTATAAAGCATTTAGTTGTTATAAAACTTATCTGTCTACATGCTTTCCTCCTCTCTTTTTGTATCCCTCTGATGGGGCTTTTCAAGTCAGAAAACTTCCTTTCAGAATGTTCTCTCTATATTGATTATCCTTAATGTAGGGTAATTAACTTAATGCAAGATTAGCATTTTTAAGACTTGCTAAGAGCCTTTTGTTAAATTAATCAAGATATAATTTGATGTCTATAGAATTAGCTTTGACTTTAGCTATGAATTAAAGTTGGAAATGATAAAACATAAACCAATTTGTGCAAAATGGTGTATGTTTTATTGGTTTATTATAATTAGCTATTAAGGTGAATAGAAGTATTATACAGTAATAAAAAATTATGCAATAAATAATACAATATAAATTGCTTTTTTAATGTATTATTTTTATTATTATTTCAGATTCAACCAGAACTACAAAGAACTCCTGGAAATACACGTATACGATTGAAAGTTTTTCCATATCTTTTAAAGTCTAAAGAAGCTTCTATGACAATTCCATCTTCTGTACAGGTATTTACAAAACAAAATTCAGAATTCTTTAGAACTAATTCTCATTGACGAATACATAAATAGTTTTTCTTAAATAAAATGAATAATATTTCTATTCAATAAATTTAAAGTAAAAATTATGTTGTAGTATGTAGAAATTAAATGTGTTACTTACAGGACTTATTATTCAAATCCTTATGAAAAATATTAATAATTATTCTTCTATATTTCTGAAGCACTTCTTAGAAATTTATATATTTAAACTTAAGTGCTTTTAAATATAATTTTATAAAATGTTTTGTAGTTTTAAATATCTATATTTTTTAAACAAAAAATGTATAATATGAAAGACTAAAAGTATTTATCATAATACAGTAGAAGTTTCTTAATCTGACACTTGATAATTCAAAATGTCTGGTTAATCTGGTATCTTCTAAAAAGTAGCTGATAATCTGGAATTGTCTGATGATCCAGCATACTAGTATTTTATGAATCAGAATATGTTTGAATATGTGGTGCACTAAAGGCAATGAATAGAAATCAAGATAAAGGTGGGCTGTATTCATATATATTGCTCGTGAAATTGAGAGCAATAAGATTAAGAAAAATTATTTATTTTGTTATAGCACTTGTTTCTGTTGGTTGCTGGAAACAAACAAATTGGAAACATACAAAAAGTACAGAAATTCTGCAATGTTCAGATTATATATAATAAAATTTTGCAATATACAAAAATAATCCTGCATTTTTGATAATTATCATAAATGTTGATTCCATAGAATATGATAATTTAGCTTAGAAGCTAGATTGACAAACTTTTACTGTAATATATAAAAAAGTAGTTTTTAATTGACTTTATATTTGTTGGAACTAACTTTCCAATGTATCTACCTTTTATTACAGTAGAAGTATGTTTCTCTGGTACCTACAGGACTAGAATGATGTTAGTTTATTGAAAATGCCAAAATACTGGATGTTTTTGTATTTTGAAAAATTTTATAAGTTATGTATGATCTGAACATTGCAGAAATTCTTGTACATTTTGTACCAGTGCACACTGCCATATGCTTCTGATTTGTTTACACATGCTCTTTAATCAGTGAAAATGATATAGTGTGTTAGATTTACTTGATTATACTGTGTTAGGAATGATTGAAAAACCTGGAAAAACATTACTGAACATATTATTGCACAAAATCAACAATCACAATTGTTCATGTGCATATAATAATTTTACAGATATGTTTATACCCATTAATGCATGTGTTCAAAACAAATTTTGATTCATGGAATACTAGTGTGCTATATTATCATCAGACAGTTCTGGATTAACTGGATTATGTTCAAACTTCCAGATACCAGATTAACAAACTTCTACTATATTATAAAAAATCTTTTAGAAAAACATCTGTATTTGTTCCTTACTTATTAGAGGCAGCTTAGTATTGTTTTATCACATCTGGAAAAGGAAAAATTGGTTAGATTCATTCCTTCTTAACTTTTCACAGATTAAGGTTAGCTGGAAAACAAGTACTGTACATCATTTCTCTCAAAATTCTTTACTTTATGTATCAGATGATCTCATTCCCATTTAAAAATTTTGAGATGAATTCAAGATAGCAGTTGTTCAGTTGACACATGCATAGATGGTTACCCCTGCATATCATGTTTCTATCATGCTAAAATTTTTCCTGCCCAACTCAGTTCAGTTTTATAAGGGTGTTAAGCAACTTTTAACTCATTCTATGTAAGAATTTAAGGTTAAATAATTATAATAATATATGCATATTAACAGGTTATATTTGAATCAATCTATGGAGAAAATACAAATCTGAAATTAAAAACAATGGCTCTTCAGTTTGTTCACTTCATGTGTTCAAAGTAAGATTTTTTTAATATATATATATTAATTTTATTTATTAGTCAAATATTTTTCTTAACTTTTAGTTAAAGTCTAATTAAAGTTTTGATTAATGAAAGAAAAAAAAGCCTATAAATTAGTAGTATTTGATATAAGATTTATTAGATGTACCAAATCAATAGAAAATATAATAAGTATCATTGCCAAAACATTTCCAAACAGAGTCTAAATTGGTTAAAATGGTTTCATTAGTTTAAATTTTGAACTAATATATCAAAACTCAAAATTTTAACTAAAGTTTTGAATTTTGGAATAATGATTAATCTTTTAATCATAGATAATTTTTTCTAATAAATAATACAATAAACAATTGAATAGTAAAGTATGATTGACAAATTAACTGTTATAAAGTGGGCATTGTGTGTGTGTGTGTGTGTGTTTCAAAATATGTATTGAGTAATCAAAGTTCTATTTTATATTGTCAGGAAAGATATTTAGCAGTTCAAATGCAACCAAATCTGGTATGGTGACATTTCAAGACATCTGTAAGACATTTCTGTAAAAAAAATAGTAGTACTAAAACTCACCAGTCTGGCACTTTTGACCCTACAAGTAACAAAAAATGTGGTTTTCTTTGTACATGTGTTGCAGCCAAGTTCTGGATATGAAGGTACCACAATTTCATGTCATGTCATGTCATGTTTATCAGCTATGATGATCATAACTTTGTTGGAATGCACATTTCTTGTAAAGCTGTTTTACAAAAACAATGGCAATGCTGCATCTGTATTTCAGTAATCTTGCCATTGTAAGTATTTTACACTGATGATCATTGACTCCATAAGCTCTTAGGAGAATGAGTGAGACACATTTTCAATTTAGTGGAACAGTAAGTAAACACCTGCAACTGTTACATTTGGACCAAGCTTTCATGTTTTTCAGCAGATTCCATTACATTTGCTTGAAGTTAGTTTGGTATGGATTCACAGCCTCATTTATCCTTGGCTATTCTTCTTTCAAGAAGCTGGTCCCAATGGGCTTATGACACTCTATGTGATGGCCAGAGATAATGAAAGATGTTCAATATTTTGTCATGTTTCAGCTATAATAGCAAGTGTCTTGAGTCAATTGTTTTTGTTCAAGATAGTGCCTACACATATTAGATACTGCATACAGCAGTTTTCACAACAACATTTCACCAATAACTGATTGTCATGCATTTTTAGTGGCCACCTCATTCTTCAGATCTTAATCCATGTGATTTTTGGCTGTGAGGACACTTAAAAAGTGTGGTTTATTAAAAGCATATTGCAAATTTGGCAGTCTTGAAAGACAGTATTATACTTTATATGAGAAACATTAGAGAGGATCAATTATGGTTAGTTGTTGATCACACTGTCTTCAGGTTTTAAACTTTCAGAATGAAGACTACATTGAACATTATCCTCTGCATTGCTAAGGTCTCTGGATAGCATGATTGTCTTGTACAAATGTTTATTGTGTAGAGTTCCAAAAGTGCTGTATTGTGAGTTTTGCTACTAATTTTTTTTTAAATTGAAATGTCTTCTGCGTGGTCTGAAATGTCACCATACCAAGTTTGGTTGCATTTGGACTGCTAAATATCACTCCTGATAGCATTGAATAGCAGTAATTAATTATATCACTTGGTATATATATTTACAAATACAACATATGCATGCATAATATTGATTTTTTTTTAAATATTAGTTTTAATGTATTTACAGTATTAATTTGATTATTGCTTTTTTAGTTGTGACAAAGAAAGATTAAATCTTGTTGCAACAGTTATAATGTCAGGAATGTTAAAACTTGTGACTGAGTCAGATGAGGTAAGAATTTTCTTTTACTAAATAATAACTACTGTGACATATTCAGCTAATTTAAAATTACCTTAACTTATGTTTTGTGCAAAACTTACATATTAAAGAAGTTATACATATATGTAAATATGAATTAGTGATGTAAACTGAATGTGTGTGTGTGTGTGTGTGTGAAGAAGGTGACTTGTATTCATAATAATTATATCAAAAAGTAAGTAATGTTCTATAATAAGCCTTATTATGATTCTGTCAGTGTATTTTTAGGAAAATAAACAAATATTATTATATATTTTATGAATATTTTAAAGACTCTCTGGATTGGTCTGCAGACCAGTTCTAGAGGTTGGGTCCATAAAATTTGAGAAACACTGATTTAATGCATAGGCATATCAAATAATTCAAATTGTATTTGAATCATCTTGGATCATTTCAAACAATGATTTAATCTTGGTTACTTTGAGAAGATTTAAGGAGTTTTTGAATGGAAGCACTTTGAAAAGTCAGTTTGACTTCTTAAAATAATAATTTAAATAGATAACTTTATTTTCTTGTACAGAATAATAATAATCATCAATAAAGAATATGTGACAATGAATTTCTTATACATGCAATGTTAGCTTTTACATTAAGGCTGTGTACACATTAGGCGTTTTTAAACATGCGTTTTGGTAACGCGTGTTTTAAAAAATCAAGAGTTCTGCATAGGCATACATACTCAAACGTGCGTTTTTGGCCAAGCACATGTCAAACGCACGCTGATAGATTTTTGTTAAAACGTGCATTTTACGGGCGCTTTAAGATATATGTGCTGCCATGTTGTTGTACATTCGATCGCGTGCTTTCGGGTAGAGTGGACGTATGTTGGTCGAAATGGAGAACAATCATTTCGATACTGATCTATTTATTGATGAAATCTAAAAGAGACCAGCCATCATCAAATGATTTTATAGATATTCTAAAAGAATTAAAAAATTTGAGTTCATATTGTCTTAGTTTTGGATACAATGTCACAAACATTCCATGTGTCAGTCTATCTCGTAATATTGGGTGCACCCAAAATTCTCTTTTGCCTCTGCCATTGTTTTCTATAGCGACAATGGAGGAGGCACACACAAGCAATTACTTTCATGTCTATTTCCAAACCGAGCCAGTGCTCACGCTCCACTAAACGGTCGTCTAACACCAAGCTAATGCGCAGTGTGTACGCTGCTAACGCGCATTTAACGCAATGCAAAACGCCTAATGTGTACATAGCCTAAAAATGATAAACTAAATTATCAGCAATTATGTGAAAAGACAGCAATTAAATAGTAATGAAACCATAGCCAAATTAGCTAGTTGCATGTCATCATGTCATCATTTAGATCATATGTTTTATAGAACCCTGATTATCCAAGGTACTGTGGATCAATGCTACCTCAGATAACAGAACTCAGATAAAATGGATAGCCCAGACATTTTGGAATAAAAATTACAAATACAAAAGCTTTATATGGCATTATTTTTAAGCCTCTTTTTACACCTTATTGAATTTAATCATATATAAGAACAATGTTTTTTGCATCATTTATTATACAACTAATATATATGTTGTTTTAAGTCTTCAAATGGTATTGTACTGTAATACACTTCTTATCTAGTTTTGTATTCAATTTATGAGCTCTGTGACGGCTTTTCTTTTCCATTAGACTTATTACACCAACATTCAAAATCAGGACAACCTTTAGAAAATCACATTTTATTTCCTAGAGTATGCATTTCAGACTTTGAGTCCCTTATCAACTCTTTGTGTTGTAACTGTTTAGGAAATAATGCATACAATTCAATTCAAATTCATTTATTAGTAGAAGGCAACTGCCTGTTACAAAGGGAGTTCTACTCCTTATCTTTATCATCAGTAACATTACAAATCAATTAAACCTCAAAAGACTTCTTAACATAATTATATAGATTGTAAACATTTTTTTGGGTTGCACGATGGAACATCACATACATTGTTTCCACCGATTCACATCCGTTAAAATCTACAAGATTATATCTCTGTCTCAACTCTAAACTCTTCTTACATTACACAAATCAGATGAAATTTAGAAAAAGGCATAAGACATCTCGGGCATAAATTGTTCTTGTATATATATACTTTCTTGTCTATCACCAATGTACTAGCATTAAGACAAAGCTGTATAAAAAGTCTCTTCACACAAAATGGTAAGCTCGAAAATATATAGCTATTATTACTTGGGTACAATAGTACTGAACTATAACAATTCAATGATATTCATAAATGAGTGTCCCCTATATCTCGCATTAGTGAAGATCTCTTCCCCAAGTGAAGATCTCTTCCCCAAGAAGATCATACATCTCTTCCCCAAGTTCCGGAGAAAATATAAATGGTTCAATCAAACTGCCATAATTATTAATTATTTTAGACAAGTTTGAAATCCAATTCCTTTCCGAAAATTTATTAATGGAATTTTTATATAGTTGATTTAAAAGGTTAAATGTAATTACACCACCATCTCTTACCTTAATTAATAACTTTATACATCTTTTAATAAATAGTGCTATGAGACTAAATCTACTTATCTCCAATCTTAGTATACTACCTGGAGTTTTATAATCTTACCAAAACAATCCACATATAAATTTATTTTGAATAGTGTCCAACTTTTGAACATTGGAGAGACACCATATAGGAGAAGCAAAACTTATCGAGTTGAAAACCAAGGACTGAAATAACTTAAACTGTGTTTGGATCATACCCAACCTATTCCTAGAAAACAACTTTGCAATACCTTGGATTAATCCATTAGACTTAGCCATCATATTTTTAATTTGGCTCTTAAAGGAAAGTAACGGTGAAAAAACCACTCCTAGAAACTTTATTTCGTTGACTATACTAATTTCTGTATCATTAATAAAGAAAGACATATGCTTCTTAGGCATTCTTGTTCCATTTCTAAATATCATTATGTGAGATTTCTTAGGATTAATGTTTAAATCCAATTGAGAAAAGTTCATGGTTAATAGATGTATCTTCCTTCTAAGGGCAACCACCATTGGTGCTATAATAACAATATCATCGGCATACAAGATAGAGTGAATCACTATATTACCAATCAGGAATCCATCATCTTCGTTATCGAAAATATCATTAATATCATGGATATAAAAATTAAATTAATAAGGAGACCGAGGGTCTCCCTGTAACAAACCTCACTCTATTGAATGGAGACAACCCTGATCTCCATTGTATTTACAAATTATTGCATAATGGCCAAACAAAAAACCTACCACTTTAACCAAATGTTTGTCAGCTTTATATTGTAACATTTTATTTTGTAAACCCCGACCATTAACAGAATCGTATGCCTTTTCAAGATCAATAAACAGAGCATAAACTTTGTCTTTTTTTTGTTTAGCTGCACCTGGACAATGGCCAACAAAACAAACAAGGTTAACTGAGTACCGCCATCTGATATAAATGCATATTGGGTTGGATTTATCAAATTCTCCTCTTTGATCCATTCATTAAATCTTCTCGACACCATAGTAGTAAAAAGTTTACGAAATGTCGAAAGTAGAGCTATCAAACGATAATTTGCTGGATTGGCCCTGTCTCCTTTCTTATACATCATTCGAAATATCACTCAGTTCCACGACTTAGGAATTATACCTATTTCATAAAATCTATTATACTGCCTGATTATATATGTTAAAATTGTCATAGGTAGGAGTTTTATTATTTTATTAGGCAACCCGTCATATCCCGGGGCCGATTTATTTTTGAGCCTCTTTATACATAATTGAAGTTCTTGGATATTAAAGATCTCTTCCACTGGTCCCATCTCAGATTCTTCCAATTTTTCCACACTAGTGTCTGCCAATTTATCCTTATAACTAATAGAAAATTTATCAAAAAATTTAGATCATTCATCAATTGGTATATTAACTGACTCCTTCCAATAGTCAACAGGTCGTCAAAAACTATTAATCATTTCCAAAAATTTTTTAGAGTCTTTGGTTTCAATTAAGTATTTATTTAAGTTTATATAATATCTTCTTCTTTTTGCTTTAATCAACTGATTATAAATTTTTTTATCGTTAATATAATTTTTCCAGTCAATTTCCTTATTAGATTTTTGAAATCGACTCAAGCTTTGCTGTTTTTTCTTCTTATAATAATAGTAATTATTATCATACCAAGTTTGTTTGAACCTTCGCGACAAACCTTTATTGCAAAATTTAACACAGAACTATTTAGAAGTCCAATTAAAGTTTCATAATTAACCAGCAGACTTGACTTATCTTCTTGACTTAATACTTCTTGAAATCTATCTGAAACTAGTTAACCTCTGTAAATTAAATCTTAAACTTCTTGTCTTGGCAGATCGTAATTGTTTCTGTCTGCCAGAATGCAAGGATTTTATTTCCTCAGGCAAACCCCAAAGAATTAACTGTATTGGAAAGTGGTCAGACTGATCAAAATCCAGCACTGACATTGACCGGCAGTAATATAGCATATCTTCATTAGCTAATATATAATCAATAACAGATCTTCCCTTGTGGCTCAATAATGTATATTCTCCTGGAACATCTCCAGTTATTCTTCCATTTAGGATGATAAAATTATTACACTGCAATAACTCTAACAAGCATCCTCCTGCTGAATTAAATACTTTATCCTTGGATCTCCTAACATTTGCAATATCAAATTATCTCCTTGATATTCTGTATCTATTTTTTCGCCAATGCGGGCATTAAAGATCCAGCAATCTGTAACATTACTCCCTCGGTTAATAACTATTTGTAATTCATCAAACATTTACTTTGATTTGCAGATGGGTTAATATATACCACTTAGATTCCTAGGAATCTAGTTCTCCACAATTTATGAAATCTAGGATTTAGTTCAACTAAGGCAATAATATACAAAGGTTCTGTTTGTACAAACCTCATATAACCTAAGGATCTCTTAATCAACAATAAAAGATCTGCTGGTCTACCAAATCTTCGCTCCTTAAGTGCTGAACTATGGGATATCCAGAACACATCCTGTAGACCCGAATTCTCCAAAAATATAGAATCGACTGACCACGTCTCAGAAATACCCACAACATCATTTGATAACAAGTACTACAGAATGGATTGATCATTAATCTTATTAGTCATTCCTTGAATATTCCAGAAAGTAATGTGCACATTATCAGCCAAAATATAACAATCCGACCCCTGGGAAACCAAATGTATCGAATTCAGATTCTTATTATTTAACCGGGTTTCAAAGTTATTATTTCCCAAATCTCCCACATTCTTCCTATTATCATCCATCAATCTTGGCAGTTCACCAGTGCTAGACCCCTGGATTCTTACAAAAAATGGTCCAATTGAATTTCATTTGTATAAGGACCTTGAATAAGTTCTCGCTGTTTTCCAACAGATGGCGTTACCAGAACCATGTGTGTTTATTTTTAGATGGTGACACATCTGTAAGGAAGTACAATAAGAGACCTTGAAATTCAGTATACGTCATTTCACCAAAGTGTAAACAACTTATTTTTTCATTGTGTTAAACATGTCTAGTTTCGTGCTAAAAAAAGAGTATTTGCGGGGAATTTTATTGCACTATTTTATTCAAAAAAAATTGCAGCTGAAGCACACAGAATTCTTGTTGAGACTTACGGCGACCATGCTCTGTCGGAAACAACATGCAGAGATTGGTTTAGACGCTTCAAAAATAATGATTTTGATGTTGAAGATAAAGAACGATCTGGTGCACCAAAAAAGTTTGAAGACAAGGAATTAGAGGCATTACTTCATGAAGACTCATGTCAGACGCTAGCTGAACTTGCAGAATCATTAGGAGTTGATCACACAACAGTTTCGAAACGTTTAAAAGGATTAGGAATGATTCAAAAGCAAGGACATTGGGTGCCGTACGAGTTGAAGCCGAGAGATGTCGAACGCCGTCTTTTCACATGTGAACAGCTGCTTCAACGGCAGAAAAGGAAAGGTTTTCTGCATCGTATCGTGACGGGTGACGAAAAATGGATACACTACGATAACCCTAAGCGTAGAAAATCGTGGGGTAAGCCCGGTCATGCATCAACATCGTCAGCAAGGCCGAATATCCATGGTTCGAAGCTTCTGCTCTGCATTTGGTGGGATCAGCTAGGTGTAGTTTATTACGAGCTGCTCAAACCAAACGAAACTATCACGGGAGATCGCTATCGACTACAATTGATGCGTTTGAGCCAAGCATTGAAGGAAAAACGGCCGCTATATGAGCAGAGACACGACAAAGTGATTTTGCAACATGACAATGCTCGGCCACATGTTGCACAACCGGTGAAAACGTACTTGGAAACGCTTAAATGGGAAGTCCTACCCCACCTGCCGTATTCACCAGACATTGCCCCTTCGGATTATCACTTGTTCCGATCGATGTCACGTGGCCTGGCTGAGCAGCACTTTCGTTCTTATGAAGATGCCAAAAAATGGGTTGATTCTTGGATAGCCTCAAAAAACGTGTCGTTTTTCCGACATGGAATTCAAATGCTGCTAGAATGATAGGAGAAAGTAGTGGCTAGCAACGGACAATACTTTCAGTGACGTGTTTATTACGACTTTTTTTAAATAAAGTGTTAATTTTCACAAAAAAACAGCGAGAACTTATTCAAGGTCCTTATATATATATATCATAAGTAAACATAATTTCATTTAATTTCATTTGTATATATATCATAAGTAAACATAACTCCATCCTTAATATAATAGTCATCTCTAACTATAATTTTTTGGCCCTTGGACTTCTCCTGTATTATTCTTGTAACCAGTTTTTTTCCTTCTAACCCTAGACTGCTTACACAAGTCAGCCGTCAGAATAATATTTTCCTTGAACCTTTTAGACAAGTTTGACCTTGTCATCCAGAATCCCTTCAGAACTAAATTTCTCTCATACACTGAAGTGAGAGAAATTTTAACTATAGATTTAGTATTATTTCTAGGAAACCTGACTAAACTGGACAGACTGAAGTCCTTTAAACCTAACTCGTTTTTTATAAATTGAGATATCTCAGCCGACGGATCATCAGTTAAAAACGGAAAATTAAAAATAACAATGTTGTTTCTTATTTTTTCGTTATTCAACTGATCCAACTGAAATTCAATCTTATCCCTCAATAGTCCATCATAATTAGCATTCCGTTCCAATCTTTCCACTCTATGAGACATGATACACAAATCTTCCCTTAGATCATTGTACTTCATTTTCAATGTATTTAACTCTTCCTTAATTTCTCTCAGATCCACAGAAAGTTGAGAGAATTTCTCCTGAATTAGATCATAAACTGTTTTAATAGTGTAATGTGATTCCTCACTGAGATCTTCCTCCACACCTACTGATGACATAAAATAATCCTGTATTTTTGCATCTCTTGCTCCCACCAGATTCTGCTTCAACGAATCTTTATCAAATAACAAAAGATCCTCCTCTACAGTTTCAGTTAAACCTCTTCCAGTTTCTCTAGCGTCCCCCTTACAAGGTCTACCTTGACATCTCTTTTGCATATCAACCTTCTCTATATCCGGAGGGGATCTCGACAACGGCCCTGGGTTAGGTTCAATTCCTGAAATTAATAACAGGCATTTAATTAACTTGGAGCTCATACTATTCATTTCAAATTGGATCTTCCGGTATCCCTTCATTGTTCTAGAATATATAAGACACCTGAGCAACACTTCAAAGCTGAAACAAAAATTCACCAGCAGCCTCGAAACCAGCACCAACTTCCCCAAAATAATGCATACAAGTTAACATAAAATTTTTGTACTGTTACAAACTTTGTAAAAATTTTTAACTTACATGGTTATGAGAAGCACAGAAGAAATGGTGACAATTGATAAAATACAGATGACAATTATTAATTTATAGGTATTTGCTATAACAATAGTAGAATGTTAATGATTTACAAGAACAATATATACAACATAGATGTAAAAGTTATGAACTTATATTAGATATGACAGTACAATATATAAAGTAGTATTAGCAGTGAGAGGCAAACGATATACATAATAAAATACACTTTAAAACCATGACATTGCAAACTGTTTTACCATTAAAACAATAAAATAGAATAATGAAGTAAAAACCTGTTCACCGTTAAAACAATATGACTACAAACTTATTTACAGTAGAATTGTAACATGAAATGATTCATGGAAATAACAAGAAATTTGCTGCCATTTACCTTTTAATTTAAACACACCCCCTTTCCCCTCATACCCCCTCTTGGTCAAGTATGGATACCATGTTTCATATAATTTTTGACCAGTTTTGTCTTTGTTTTTTAGTATTTCTAAATTTCATACCATTTCCTTTTTTGTGTATTAGATTCTTTTTTAACAATTTTTACAATGTCCCTAATAATTTGGCACTGTTACAATGAACTGCAACAGGTGAACTACTATTATTATTATTTAATCATGGATATAATAAGTGTGTGGAAAAGAAAGGCCGTCATAGAGCTCTTAAATTGAGTGTATTATTGTAGTTACGTTTTAATATGAATTTTTTGTCTCACATTGAAGTCAAATGATAAAAGGTAACAGAAACAAATCATATTGCAATACATGATATTATTTAAACTTTCTTTAAATAGTGCTTTACAGTTTTTTGTTTTATAACAGTTCCTCCCTTCTTTGTCATGATGTTCCATTGTCATGTCAGCAGTATTTTTCATCAGGTTTCTTTTCTCATCATTCAGTTAGCTACCTTCATTATTGATCTGGTTGAATCCATGATGGGCATATAAAAAAGGCCCTTTTAGTACACACAGGATGGAAAAAATTTAAATAAAAGTCATTCGCTCATTACAATTGAGGTTAAAAGTACTACAGCATTTGTGTGTGTAGTCATTCATAGCAAAGTTTTTATAATTATAAGAATAGTACCATATTCACTTACAGATTTGCTTTAGCTGATGCAGAACCTCAATTAATTAGACTTGGATAATTGTGGATCGACTGTAATTAAATCATTAATTTACTATATCCAAAATGGAAGTCAAAACTGAACATGACATTAAAATTTAATGCTGATATTTTGCTAAAATGAACTTTTATGATTATTTCAAAGAAATTTGTGGTCTTTCATGAATTTTTCTATAAAATACAATTGAACAGGTTTGTAGAAAAGTATGTAAATAAAAGGAAAAATAAATTTTCTGAAAAAAGTTGAGAGAAAAGATGTTTGAATTTGTGGTGTCATCAAATTCTGACATCTTTTCTCTCACAAACAAACAAAAGTTTCTTTTTATTTATAAAATTTATTTATGTTTTAAAATAAATATATTGATTTCATTTACTCGTGTTTATTATAAATTTTCTTTTAGGAACCACAGATTAAAAGTATGGCATATGTAGCTGTTGGCATGCTTGCTACTAAACTTCCACATCTTGTCACTAAAAACATTGCAGTAATTCAAACATTCTTTGATGCTTTGACAAAGGTAAAGTTCTCTTGTAAATTTTTAGTGATGTACATTAAATAATTTTAAACAAATATATTATTATTAAAAGTTATCTTTAGTTTTCAATATTTTAAAAATAATTATGGAAAATAATTTTATTAAATTCTAAATAGTAAAATATTTGTATAAAATGCTATTTAGATTCATTTTGTTCTAAATTTTTAAATTTGCATATTATTTAAAAAAACAAAGTAACAAAAGGAGTAGTCCAAAGAAACAAACTTCAAAATTGTGAATTATTTTATGAGAAATTGAAATATATTAGTAAATCTTTGCTAAGATGATTTCATTATTTCTTTAATGAAATTTTTTTTATGATTCAGATATTTAACCATTAACTAACTATAGTATGAGAAACTGGAGCAAAAGGGGGTTCCCTATAGACTACTTGATCAGCGACGGGTCGGTATGACCTGCTCTCATTGTCACTGGGTAGCTTATCGATAGTTTGTCGGTGAGATTGCAAGATCCCTCCAACGTCAGGAATCTGACACCAGTTAGGGTAGGGTTAAAAGTCTCATCCTAACTCTCGAATTGGAAATAAATGTTGTGTAGGAGGATTGAGTCGATTGTCGAGTGGGGAGTGCAGTGAGTAAGTCGACAGGGTGTCCAAAGTTTGATCAAGACAGGTAGACCGATCAACAAACATAACAAAAGTTAATTATATCTAAATCTAGGTTACAAAACACTATGAACTACACAACTAAATACTATTCGTAAACACTGCACTCGTGGGGTGCTATCCTGTTCTGTATTTATGGAGAGAGAGAGTTTACAAATGATCTAACAAGACACTAAATACCTCAGAGAGAGAGAGAGAGAGAGACATAACTCTATTTTGGTGGATGCATCTATGTAGATTGTCTAGGCATTTGGCAGGTGAGCTGAGGTCTATGCTTGTAAATTGGAGGAGACTTCTTCTATGGGGATGTTTGCTCTGAAATATGGTGAGGCTGCAGCCTTGGGCTGGAGATGTTCTTCTTGTATGTTGCTGATCTATGTTCGCCTGAATATGGTGAGATGGGTGACTTGGTTTGAAGATTGAGTCTACCGGTTGATGCCTGCCTTGATATGGTGTCTTGGATATATCTGCTGGAGTCTGCCTGGGACTCAAGTTTTAGCCTCCTTTATCCTCCTGTGACCCAGGAAAACCCATCAGGTGATCTGTTGTTTGGAGATGACATTGCAAGTGTGAGGTCAGGTTGCTGTTGATGACACTAAGATGTTGTTTAAATGGAGCTGCTGCTACCATATTTGGTTCGAGACCTGTAAGATTCATCCTGTTTACTTGTTCGAAGGTTGACTTTCCCCTCTTTTAACAATAGGTTGTATAATTTAACACTAGATTGTTATTCTTTCACAGTTGTTGATGAAAAGGATGATATTCAATCTGTTTTCTGTGTGATGTTTTCTTAACATTGCAACGGAGAAATAGGCTAAAAAATTTCCTTAAATTAGCGCAAAATCAGGTCCACCATCTCACAATAGTGTCAAAGTTTTTTTTTTTTACAGTTTGTGACTCATAACATTATTGCTTACAGTCCATACATGATGAGCTGGCCTCTCTAATTCTCTGTTAAACTATATGCTGGCATTAGAGTATTTAGAAAATTTCACTATTTATAGTGAAAATGGATCTTCTAAACTGGTTAAACATAACTTTTCCAGTTCTGATTTCATTTATAAGTTGTTCTACTGTTTTTTGTTTTGAACTAGAATTTATTTTAAAATATTACTAAGTGAACTAACAACAATTTCCAGTTTCTTGAAATCAAAACCAAAACACAAGTAATAGGTGTAAAACAAGAAAAAGTTCCAAGTAACTTATAAAAAATGGAATGTTCCATACTCCAGTGCATTGATATGGCATAAATGAGAACTAGAAGGACCAGTCTGTAGCACATGGATTTAGCACTCTTATGAACATGTCATTCTGAAATCTGAGATGTTCAGTAGGTCTATTCAACAAAATAATAATTTGAAAAAACATTTCTGCTTAAATCTGAGCTTAAGTTAAAATTATTATTTGAGCACTTGTAATTTGATAATAAATGGTATGATATATGACAAGAAACATTTCAAGGAAAAATCTCTTCTAATGTTTTGTAATTTTCTGACAGAAAATTGGGTGATTAGGATTGTTGATTAGGAAGGAATTTGTTCTTTGAAATTGTGAAGTTAAGTGAAACATTGTAAAACAAAACCAATTTTTTCATAGGCTAAATGATATAAATAAGAGTTAAGTTCCTATGGCATAGTTTCTGGTCACCAAACTTTAAAATAGATCCAAACTTCTCTCATACAAAAGATTGAAATAAAAATGTGAGCTATAATAATTTACCCAATTTTAGGAGTTATTGAGTGATCACAGATCATATTGGTGATGGGTGATATGAAATCCTCATTTCTGGTGATAGTAAAGATGAGTAATAAAGAATAAATTTGCAAAAGCAAAATTGTAAGGAGTACCTCTTATCATACATAGTTCAAAAGCAAACAAACAAAGTTCCAATAAACTGTAGAGAGTACTGCATGGGAAAAAGTTTTCTGTAGCATTTTAGCTAATTTTACTAAAAAAAGTTGTAGCAAAATTTTAGAAACTAGCTAACATTTCTCACCCATTAGGCTGCTCAGAAAAATACATAATACATTATTGTTTAAGCATTTGTTTATTCACAAAGATACTGTACTGTACATTATTACAGTATACTGCACTATTAATGAAAGATGAATCTATCATTACATCCCAAAGTACCATACATTATTGAACAATTATTTTTGCTTTTGACTCACACCAGATAACAAATACTGAATGAAAATCAAATTCCTGTCTTGGAGGGTCATTTATAGAAATGTTTATTAAAATGCTGACATTTTTTTACATCAAGACTGTTTCTAATTGGAGTTTTTGTTTTAATCATTTCACTTAAACCTCTTTCACTCTGTGTGCTAGAAGTGAGAGAACAAATTCAATAACTGTTGCTACTTGAGGGTAATCTGAGAGAAAGTCATTTACAACTAACATTTTATAAACTTTAGTCAATGACATATTCTTACACCTGACAGCAACAAATCTCTTAAACAAATCTCACTCCATCAGAAAATGTGCTTTGTCTATTTCATTGAAATGTTGTTGTAAGAACTTGTGAATATCTGCCATTTCATTGTAACCACATTCAGTAAATTCACCTGAGTCAGAACTTATTTCTTGGCAACAGTATGATAAACAGTTTCAACTGTTCCAAATCAGAAAACCTATGTTCTAAATTGGCAATCAAAGTAGATAGAAAAACCTGCTTTGCAGAGATGTTTGTGTATTAGGGTGATTGATGTTATTAAATTTTGGCAATTAAAGGTCAGTGAGGTATGGAGATAAAAGGTGTAGTGTATATTTTCAGTAGGGTTGGACTTAATGTCAATTTTATCCATTCTTAGCATTTACAATTTTTTTTATAAAACCCATCCCTAACCTCAAAATTAAGGTTTTTGCCATTTTACAACAATTTTAAAATATAAAAAGTTTTTAAATAAAATAAATAAAACCATCAAATGATGCCAGGAAAGTTAAGCAAGTCCTTGCTGGGTTTTTTTGATTATAGTTTAATCAAAAACGCAAAAATATACATATCAAATTTCAGAAACTTTTCTGTAAATTATCTCCACGTATATGATTAGCATCAGTTTTGTGAAATTAAGAGGAAAGTTAGACAGAATTAGATAACCTAATAAATAGGGTATAACAATTTGCAGGGCTTATCACACCAATTTATTATGTTATCTAATTCTGTCTAATTTATAGTGGTGGGCAAAAAGTGTTGTTTATTATTAAGAGGAAAGTGTTACATTTCAAACTTCAGGGGAATACTGATAAAACTATTACTTTCATTTCAGATTGTCAGTGCAGTCCACATTGACTAACTATTGCTACTAATGTCAATAAGTTGCTAATTGTTTTATTAGTCTGTAAAGGAAAACTATTTCTAGTTGTGAGTCTGTCAGATTACAATGTTATTATTTTATTGTACTTGGAAGAATGTTCATTTTAACATTAATTTAACAATAGTTTTGTTATATCTAATTAAGTTTATTTTTAGTTGCAGTTTAACAGGTATGTTGGTCAATCTGTGAAAATATAGTAGGCCAAACAAGCAGAATGGAATTTTCCATCTCCCTTCAGCAGAACTATACGTAGTGGTTAAAACATTTTGAAAATGTTAGTTTTAAGATGTTTTAACCACTTTGAAAATGTTAATTTTTTAGCAAAATGTGTCAAGAAAGTTGTTGCTAAGTCTAAATTCTTGTAGCATCTTAGCATAAAAACTAGTGACATCTTAAACCTTGGCACTGTATAAATTTAAAATGGCAAATTCATGTTTGTTTAATTTCTCATTAAATGATGTCTTATATGTTGTTATAAAACCCATCCCTAACCTAAACTGTGAAAGTATAATGAATACAAATTATATTAATCAGATTTCAGAAAAGAATTTGTTTAATATTCTTATTAGATTGTGTTTGCAACCTCCAACATTTAATTCCCATCTCATAGAATTAATTTTACTGTTTATAAAATAATTCAACAACAATAATTGTAATACAAATGTTTTTGTATCTTTCCTCAATGATGTTAAGTGAGGACTTGCTGTTTTTGTATAAAATTGAATTGGTTTTCTGAAAGTTGATGAAATTTTAATTCATTTAAAAAACAGTTACTTTTCACTAATTCTTAACATAAATAAGTTAAATATACCTATAACTTATTTATATACATTATTCTATATTAATCTGTACATTATTAATTATTTAATATTAATTATGAATTTTTAACTATTATTTTTGAAAATAAATATTAGATGTTGTAAAAATGCATAAATATTATCTCCAGTTTTAAAACTTATTTTAAAATAAATAAATCTTTTATAGGAAGAAAAGGATGTAAGAATTTCTATTCAAGAATCTTTATCTCTCCTTGCAAAAGCATTTAGTACAATGGATCAAAATACTCAATGCTTAATGGAAAGCCTTATTTCAACCAGTATAGAAAATCCTATATCTCAAGTTCGTCTGATGGCAGTACATTATGCTGCAACAATTTTTCCTTCAGATCATATTTCTTCACGTTATATATTGCTGTTAGCTGCTGGTGATAGGTATTACAATGCATATAAATTTAATTAATANGGAGATCCGGATAATGGAGGTTCTACTGTATATGTTTTTTATTTTAAACATATTATAAAGTTATATGACATATTTCTATATAAAATAACTAAATATAAATTCCAATTGAAAATTCAATAAATATAAACTGAGTTTTTTACAAATTGAATTTATAGTAATGCATAAAATTAATTTAATTTAGATACATATTTTAGGACAAGTATTTGAATATTAAATACATTATATGTGTTACATCTTGTCCTTCTCCCTAGTCATTCAATATATTAAAATTGTGAATTCAAATTCTGCTCTAAATTATTAAACATTACTTTGTTTAATATTTAATTAAAATTATTCCTTCATTAAAATAGTAATAAATTTATTTATGTATTTATAAATTCACTAATAAAATTAATCCTTAAAAAAATGTTAAATAAATTTTAAGTAACTTAATTAATTACTTGGCAAAAAGTGATGTAACATTTTAGTAAATATAGTTGCAAATAATTTCTCTCTTCAGAGAAAATAATCTATTTATATGTCTTGTGATATTTGTTGTGACATTCATTAAATATTTTTCTTGTGATGTCTTGTGACATTCATTAAATATTTTTCTTTTCATTATTTTAATGATTTAATAATAAAGTTGAAGAGAATTTCAAAAGATAAAATTATTTTAATGTCACTTTTTGAATTGAATTCTTATTGTAATAATGTTATCTTTTAAATGTTAATCAAAGATGGATGTTAAACTGTATTGAAAATGATTATAAACAAGTCAGTCAAAGAAAGATTTATAAAACTTATATTTGAATTTATATATATATATATAAGGTGACAGCATGTCGTAATGGTCCCATGGATTTTAATTTACCATTACACAACAATAATAAGAGATACGTTAATATAGTGAATGGCAATGGGAAGAGAGATGTTCAAAGTATTGTACAGTACATACATTATAACCTCTCAATATGTCTGTTCTTTATGACACAACAACAATTGTAATAATGTTTCATGTCAATTCCATTAAGTCTTAGGGTAAGGGTGGCACAAATATCTTGTCCTTATTGTAGTCCTATAGGAAAAAATCACATGGTGTTAAGTTTGATGATTGAGATGGCCAAGCAAAATGTAGTCAGTCCTGAGCAATTGCAACTGGTTGTTCACCTACTGGGTAACTGCCCATTGAGATAGTCATAAATGCATGGATGTCACTGCTAAACTGTGTGGAGCCTTATTTAATTGAAGAATGAAGTCAACAGTATTATCATGAAATTGAGGCATTAGTTATAGCTAAAGTTGAAGCATACTAGCATCATCCTCCTTGATATGGAAGATGATGCTGGTGATAATTGCCTCATTAAAGAAAAATGGCCTGTAAACTTTGTCATGTGACATGACACAGAATACATTTACCTTTAAAAAGTCATGAAGGTGTTCCATAATGACATGGGTATTATCCACTACCCAGATTTGCACTGTCAATTCACTTTACCACATAAGTGGATTTGTGGCTTTATCACTAAACACAATTTTCTTGATAAAACTGTTTGTTTTCATACGTTTTCACATACAAAATTTGGAGACTTTCTCTTTTAATCACCATTTATTCTAATTCTGTATCTCTAGCCATGATAGGTTTGTGGGTCACCAAAATCATGTAGTCCATTATGATTCACCCTGTATATCAATTTTGTTGGGATATTTTATAATGATATATAGAAATAACTAATAAAATTATTATTTGATATTTTTGCTTGAAATAATTATAATTTGTTTTACTTATCATAATAATTTAATTTTTTTTACTTTAACATTAAATTTTTTGATAGTAATGAAGAGGTGAAAATGGCAGCAATTAAAGCATTGCATAATGTGGCTCATCATGAAATCAGTAATAAATTACAGAAAAAAAATTTATATCCATCATTTCCAGCTTTTATTAAATTTATGACCAAAAAGGTATGTTTTTCTTACAAAATTATAAACTGAATAAAATTATATTAAAAATACATTACATTATTTTTATTTATATTTTAAAATGATGAATAAATAATAATAAAAAAAGCAAATAAATATTTTAAATGAAAATGATATATAAAGTGTGAATGCAACCTTGTTTAGTAATAAATCAGTAGTAGGAATTTCTAAAAAAAATAATTTTGATTTTATTAGAAATGAAAAGGACCAGAGATGATTTACAGAAAGTAGATACAGTAGCCCCTCATTATATTGCACTTGTCAGAAGACAAAGAGAAAGTGCGATACATCAGGCGGTGTGTTATAACCAAGTACTAAAACTTCTGGACTTACACTAAACAGATTATACATGCTATGGAATCTTTATCCTCTATTCTTTCATCTTCAAGTGTTTCTGATATAAAATAAGCTTAGTTTTGCAATACTGAATTTTATTCATGGTTATCGTATTAATTTACATTTATGTAAACATCAATAGCAGGAACACTCATTCAGCATTATTATTTTTTTAACAATGACTTAAATGTCATTGTTAAAAAATATCAGTTGCAATTTTATTATACAGTACTATATTTCACAATAAATTGCTTATTAAGAATTTGTGTAATTTATATTTTTCAGTAGAAATTATAAATACAATAATTGAAAAATTAAAAGATAAATATAGAACATATAGGGAACGTGACTTGACCATGAGCGCTGCTGGCAACTTTTTCCTTACATCTTGACGAGAACTAAGCAACTAGTGTATTTCTTCAAATTAATTAATTTAAATTAACCAAAGGTTTTTAATACTAACTAGAAATCATCAATCTTGAAGAAATATTAATAACTTACAAGTATGCAACATTCACCGAATAAATGTGGTAAATCTGCAAGTAAAAAGACTCAACCAGATACATCTAATTCCAGGTTTATTATGGATTTTAACCTATCAATGGATAAAGACCAGCAAAAATCAGCTACGGCATATAATAATTCTCACATTAATCTGTCCTGTTATAAGACTATCACTTAGTAATAAACAAACTCGTGATCAAATTTTTAATGTTTTTATATCAAAGAAACAACAGAAACTAATGGAAGACTGGGGAAACATACAATTAGAAGCAAACCTTACCAAGAAATCACATAAAAGAAGGAAACATTTATTACCAACTTATGAATTAAGAAAACAAAATCAATCAGTTAAACTATGCAATGATATTTTATTAATAAACTGAAATAAAATAACTTTTAGTATTGACACAGGAAAATTGGTTTACATGGATACCTTCCTACCTTTTTCTACCTCACCTGAAGCAACAAGTTGATGCACACATCAAAATAAACCTCATCAAGAAAAAACTATTAAAAATACAGTCGACCCCCGTATAAGATCATTGATTATTCCGTTTTATATGAATTCCATGTTGTACGAGTCACTTAGATTTTACAAATACGTGTACCGGGCTGTGAACGGCTCACGTATTTGTAAAATTTAAGTGACTTGTACAACATGGAATTCATATAAAACGGAATAATCAATGATCTTATACGGGGGTCGACTGTA